ATCAGTCTGTCTTTGCTGAATGTATGGGGAATATTTGTAGGAATTAACTACAATATACACTTTACAAAGTCTATCCTTTTTTTTCCCCTCTATGGGGTCTTAAATAGTTCCTGCTATAGCAGGGCTATATTTCATATAAATTTGATAATAAAGAAGGAAACCTATGAGGTAAGATGTTTTAGAAAGGGGAAGAAATCTTGAAGAATTGCTTAAGGAACTGCTGGGGAAGGAATTATTACAGAAATGGTTACCCTGAGAGTAAAGTTAGAAGCTCACAGCCAGTTCAAATCAGAGAAGGCACAGATTTCTAAGTGAAAATCATGATAGCAACAGGGACTTCTGACTTTTAATGTCTCTTGAAAAACACCTAATGTTTTACTTAACACAAATTATAGTCTTTATCCTAGATAGGGTGAAATCTAATTGCCTGTAAAGCATATAAACATAAAGTTAGATGTGATAATCGTTCATTTCCTTCTGAGGTTCTTGAAAATTCCTTCTTTGTCAGGACCTACAACATGGTACAATTTTTCCTTTCCTGTAGAAGATGACACATTCTGCTCATCTTTTCATCTGAAGACAGCCAAGTACATGGGAGCTCCATGAGCAGAGCCACGTACAGTTCTGATATGGTGGTCCTGCTGCACATGTAGTAGTTGAAGTGGCTAGGAGGAGTTGGAAGACAAACTGCCTTTCATTTTGTCTAAAATAATTACTTGTTCTTTAATACTGTGCTACGTCATTTGATCAGGCAATGTAAGAACAATAAGCAAGTGTTAATGTTTTATCTCATGCTTTTAGTGTTAGGCAGTTTGCATTTACATTTGTGGTGGTGCCTTGGACAAACTTCTGCTTCCTTCTAGATATGATTCTTGCCTGTCCTGGTTTATTTTTTTCCTGTTAGCTTTTAACGTGTGTGATATCTCAAAGCAATAAAGCCACTTCCATCAGGGATTGGTGTTCCTGGGTTATCTGTCTTTATTTGCCTCGTGCTAAAGAGACTGAGCAGATAAGTTCTGGAGTCTTGTAGCTTGGTTTCCCCGGGGAAAAGGTTGGGGAAGAGGAATCTGGTGGTCTGGTAACTTGGCTGTAGAGGTGACTTGGATTCTGTATAGAAACTTAAATCCAAGTGAGAGGAAGATGATTTGGGGGCTGTATGAAGCAGAAAGCTGTTCCGTGAGCTAGTGTAAGACAGGTGGTCTGGGGCAGTGTAGGATTTTGGCATATCTAGAAGCTGAGATTGAAGCAATGCTTTGTTTCACCCCCAAGGAGCATCTGACCTGCTGAGTGTGGAACCATTCCTTGTGTCTTGTCTTGTGTCTTGTGTGGAACCATTCCTCCAGCTTGGGGAAGAAAGCTTGCATGGCACTAGCTTGATCCCACTGATGTTGAGTGTAATCAAAACAATTGCAATTTGCCTTTTTGTGAATTAAAAAATACATATGAACAGAAGGAAGTTTTGAATGCTTATGTAATAATGCTTATATCAATTTCTGTTGCAGAACTGAAGCATCACCCCCTCTTTCATGGTGTAGACTGGGATAATCTACAGAATCAGCCTATGCCTTTCATACCACAGCCAGATGATGAAACTGATACCTCTTACTTTGAAGCTAGGAATAATGCACAGCACCTGACTGTGTCTGGATTTAGCCTATAGCATCAAGATGAAAAACATCAAGATGTGTTTTTTGCACAGCTGCAGGTTGTTCTACAACACTAACACGCTCTGAAGATTCCTTGCCAGATTTAACATGTTTTAAGTTCCCAGTCTGCTTTTATTATTGTATCCTTTACTCTGAGGTGAGACTACTGTATGAAATTTAGCTGCATTCATGCTACTCTTATTTCACGTACTGCACCTTACTGGAGCCAGTGTTGTATTTCTTAAAGGAGGTGACACTTGCCATGGCAAAAAAAAAAAAAAAAAAAAAAAATAGGGCTTAGTATCAATGAGCAAATTGAGCTAGGAGGTGGGAAGTTGTTTTATAGTTAAACATAATAGGGAAAGGTGAAAGTCCATGCTCGCTGCATGTGGAGGTGGTTCAGTGTACTGACTGTCTTGTTTCAGAATAATCCTTTCTGACCACTGTGCAAAACTGATGTTTTCATTCACAGTGGAAAACAGAAATCTTAATGCAGCATTAAAACAATGCAATGCTGTTCAGCTTAAGGTTTAAGACAGTGGTTTTCCAAATTATCTCTGCTGTGTATGGCCCATTAATGTAGGAAAGACTGGCTGTAATTCTTCTGGGAGACCATTGGTGCAGGGATGTATACTGGGATCAGTTGTGCTAGACATGTAGTGTTTGAATTGTTGCATTGTAAGCACTCACACTGTGAGGAGACCAACCAGTGCCTGCATCCCAGTGGTTACTGCTTCTAAATAGAAAATGCTGGGTGTCTGTGCTCAGCCATGTCAGATTTCAATGGTAAAATTTTCAGTGGTAGAAAGTAAAATACACCCGAGTGCTGGCTGATGCAGGAGGTATCATTAGCACTGAAGCTGCTATGTACTAAAGACTACAATGTGTTGCAAAGAAACAGTTGTTTTGTAAATTCACAGCCAGATTTTAGAGTTTGGAATTTGTTACAAATGTGCATTCAGTATTATGTGTTCTAATTATGGGGAAAGTATATTTAAATGTATTTTAAAACTGCAGTACAGCTTGCGTTTGCTAGATCTTAAAGGTTTACTTGTGGGTAATTGTTAAACTATCTTTTTTAGTATTTTTTTCTTGCATAGCTGTGATATCCTCAGCCAACTTGCTGCAGATTTTTATTTTTCAGGTTTGTGCTTAGCTAGATGTCACTTGTGCTAGACAGTGGCTCCAGCTAGTGGCCATGTCCTGAAGCTGAGCACTTTGCTAATGGGTCCTGTTAAGGGACTTCTTCTGCATTTCATGCAGGGAACGAAGCTGTCCCTTCATTGCCCCGCTCCCATGCCCTAGGCATGAGTCTTAGCAATGCAGTTCTGAGAGAACACTTTGCTAGGCCTTGTGCCTTCCTTCCAGGTAGCTTGGGAAAGGTATTGTAGGAGAAAGGGAGGTTCTGAAAGGACGGAAGGGCTGATTGTTATTAACTCAGAACATTTGTCCCTGTTAGAGCTGGTACATTTCATGGTGGAATAGAACCTTGGGAAGCTGCAGAACACACAGTGACCCTCACTCTGTGACCCTCGCTCTGTTTGACACAGACTTCAGTTTCTGAAGACTTCTAAACTGTTGATTCTTATGGAAAGCAATGTTACATGAGCAATGTGCAAGGAATTAAATGCGAAGTTATTGAATCCACTCCCATAGACAACATTATTTGAGTATGATCAGAGATTCTTTACCATACTAATTTAATAAAAATGCAAATTTTTACTCTGCAAACTTTGGAAAATAGAAATTAAAACAAAAAACACTCGCTATACAATTCTTTTTTCTTTATTTGCACTCTTGTTTAAGAGAACTGATCTTACAGGAATGAATATCAGTTTCATGCTAAGAAAGCTATTCTATAAAAGTGTGTTCAGAAATGATGCAAATAAAGCACTGCAGCTGTTGTGTACAGTACCTTATAAATGGTTATGAAGTGCTCCCTATCGTGGGGGAGGGTGGATAGTTACAGTGGCTGACATCTTGAAGATAAACAGCTTCTAACTCCTTGAAATCATTCTCAGTCAGCTGCCAGCGCCACAGGAGCTGTTAAGCTTTTCCAAACCAATTGAAGGAGCTGTAGAACTACCCAAGGTTCAGCTGACTTTGAGGTAATACAAAGCTTTTGCAATTACATAGAGTGAGAGAGGATGGTGTGGGCAGCTGCCAGGCATAGAGTTGTATTAGAGTTGTATTAACGTCCGATGCTTCTTTTAATGGGTTATATAATGCAGCACAAAACCTACAGATGCTGTAGAACCATGAATCTGCTGACAAACCAGTGTGTTTAATGCAAACCATTGTCCCTGCACTGTGTGTATGTGGCTGTCTGTAACTGTTAACACTCTGCACAGTTAGCACTGTGGATAAGTAACAGCCCATTCTCTTTGGTACCTTGTATTTATCCTGATCTTGGCAAACAGAGTTGACAGGGACTGTTCTGTGTGTGGGTTTTTGTTTAAAGCTGTCAATCCTGGCTGCATTCTTCAACGTGAATCATCTCCCAGAGATACCTTATTACCCTGCATACCACAGCTTTTCCCTGGATACTTTTTGACTGGAAATACTACAGGCAAAAATACAAAAAGTTACAAACGTGGGAACTGAAAGCGATTTAAAGCTTCCTCCCCATTAGTAATTGACTACAGCTTTTGCATAAGCTGGCAAAGATGTTGGTCCCTTGCAGCTGGAGCGTTTGACCTGGTGTTGGGGGAAGGCCTGTGTATTTATTTATGTGTTGTTTTTTTTTTTTTTACACAAGGGCACTCCTTAGTGGTTCCTCTGCTACCAGAAGGGAAATAGCGTAAAGGCAGAAATACAACTTTGCACTGTATTGTCTGCTACTGTCTGGAAAAGACAGTACAACTCTTCTCTTGTGCCCTGAGCTGAGTACCTCATTGCAGTTGGAGCATCTTCCCTGTTGTTTCATCCACTGTAAAGCTGTGCTCTGAGATGCAGGTGGATTCACTGCTTCAAAAGTGCCATGGATGTTTGCAGTGCCACACAAACCCGTGATGACTGCAGGGCCTTGTGAGGAGAGCCCCAGATGGAAGAGGGGCTGCCAGTTCTCAGCAGCACTGTTCTCCTTACACTGCCTTCCAGTTAGCGCTGCCTTTGTACTCTGGCAAATGACAGCGATTTTCCTTCAAGGTGAGGTAACAGCTAACTGGAAATTTGAGTCCTGTCAGGCTCTGGTCTTGGACTTTGAGGCCCCATCAGGAGGCACCAGTAAGCACTGCAGAATCTGTGCTTTGTATTACAGCCTTTATGTTGAAGCTGCTTCAGCCCACAAGTTCTGAGCAGCCTCCGCACCCAGCATGCTGCATTTAGTTAACATGAAGAAAGTGCAAGATTAAATACAAAATATTAAAGGATTGATTTATTGAAACATTAATAAATAACACATAACACATGCCTATGCTTATTTCAGTGGGAAGTTAACAGGTACCTTTGGGAATGTCTGTACCATCTCTGAAAGGAAGCCACCCACATGGGCCATGGTTACCACCTGGGAGAGGCACTCCACGGTGCTCCCTCCTGCTGGGGTAGGTTGGAAGTTACCTTCAAGCTAGAGTGTTGCTCCTGTATAATCCTTTCTGTTGTTTTACATTAAATTAATCACTCTAAGGGCTTTAAGCTACAGGCACAGTGGCTTCAGGTCACAGTAGAACTTCCCCTCCAGCATGAGATTTGTTCAGACCTGAGTTTTTGGTACATCTCATGCCAAAACTGACCTCTGTCAGATGGAAGCTGATTGTTACAGTCTTCAAGGATATTGTGATCATTTTATTTTGTAATTCAGCTTTACAATAAGGAAATCATAAGAAGGAAAAATAATTATTTAAAAAAAAGAAAAAAAAAAAAAAGGGCTTAAAACAAGATTAAAATTGCCCCAGTAAGACAAACATTGAATTCTGTGATTACATTTTTTACAATATAGCTTGTATGAAAAATGCTTTTCAAACTATAAAAGATTTCCAGGAAGGGCAGAAAAGAGCTTTCCTCAGTAATCTGTAATATTTGGTGTGGATGGAGAATGAAAGTGCATCAATAATATGGTGAATTTCTATGATTCAAATCTTATGCACAGGTTGTGAGATAACTTAATTCTTTAAGGTGAAGAAGTGTCTTTGTTTTCTCATTAATTTTAGTACACTTCCATTTTGTAGAAATTAAGACTGACATACATGTTTACCTACCTACACATGCACATCTCTAGCTGTATCTTGGTTAATAAATCCTCCATAAAAGAAAAAGAATCGTCACCAAAATTTAAGTTTTGTTCTCTAAGAAATCAGAAGGATAGGAGAGAAAGGAATACCAAACCTAACATTTTTCCTAGTGCGAGTGGGGAAGAGTGCACAACAGATGAGGGATAGGAGCTCTTGTTTTAATTTGACATAAACTGACAAAAGAAAACTTGCAATGCACAGAGCTTTGTCAAATCTCAGAGATATACTTACAGAGCGAGCTTGCTTTCTTAAAAGCACCTTGCGCCTCAAGTATGGTTTCAGTTACAACAAGCTGTAGCCAACAAGAATATAGCTATCAATCAACATTAAAAATATAAGGTGCAGCCTTTTCAGATGGATCCCTTGCTTTGGAGGGATCACACCTACTTACAAATACATACTTCACAGTCCTCTGTTACTAAGGGCTCTAACTTCTAGGATGTTACCACTTGTAATACCTCATTTAGGATCCTGAAGGATAACCAAAACTTCCCACTTCACTGCTGAACAGTTTACAAGGAAAGTTGTCCCACATTGGTTTAGCAGCAAAAATAACCAGTTGAATTCCTAAGAGCTACACTGTATTTTTCAACAGTTCACAATGTATTAATTCATACTTCATTAGTGCTTTCATCTCATAGTATATAAACCTGTGGAAAAACAGGTAGGGATATTTTCATTGTAACCTTATTTCTATATTAAAGCGACAGCTTTACGTATTTTGCTTTTTCTTTTACAAAGATGACATTTTCTCTGTTATCTGGCATCAGCAAGACTAGTAATTCCTAAAGGCCCATCCACAAACAGGTTCCAAAATAATTAATGTTCATGTGGTTTTAAGGATGAAATTATTAGATTTTATTTGTAACCTAGGAGCAGCAAATCATTCAAGTATCAGTAGTGTTAGTCCTTAAATGTTCAGCTCAAAGGTAGAACAAATATTACTATAACAGAAGGAACATTATCCCAAATCCTGAGGTTCTCTTAAGAATTCAGAATTCCTTTACTTCCCAGGGCCACCTTCTTCTAGCAGTCTTAAACAACATCATGAATTCTCAGTTCAGCTTTCTAGAAGAGGAAACAAATAATCTAGGTTAATGTACTCTCACATAACACAGTTTTTCATTTGTCTAAATACCGAAATTGATTAAGGTCACACATGAAAGAAAGATTATCAGTCCTTTAAAATACAACACTGATTCAAGATTCCCGAACATTTGCCTTAGATTCACAGAATCACAGAATGGTTCGAGTTGGAAAGGACCCTTAAAGGTCACCGGGCCCAACTCCCCTGCAGTGAACAGGGACACCTACATTACATCAGGTGCTCAGAGTCCCGTCCAGTCTGACAGTGAAATGTCCCCAGGGATGGGGCATCCACCACCTCTCTGGGCAACCTGTGCCAGTGCCTCACCACCCTTAGTGAAAAAAAAACCTCTTCCTTATATCCAATCCAAATCATCCCTCTTTAAGTTTGAAACCATTTCCCCTTGTCCTATCACAGCAGTCCCTCCTAAAGAGTCTTTTCCCTTCTTTCTTACAGCCCCCTTTAGATACTGACAGGCTGCTCTCAGGTTCCCCTGGGGCCTTCTCTCCAAGCTGCACAGCCCCAGCTCTCATAGGGAAGCAGTTCTATCCCTTGCATCATTTTTGTGCATTTTCTTTGGATGCATTCTTAAGTTAGGGAACAACATATAATTTGACAGAACTGGCAGAACTTAGACAAAGTATATAAAATACCACTAGGGATTCTGACCTGCAGGTTACATTCATTACTATTGTCTCCTGGAGTACAGGAGAGAAGCCTGTGGTAAAGGAGGGTGACAGCACCAGACCACATCAGCACTTTGCATTCATGAGCTGCTTTCCAAGTGCTGAGAGCAAGCTGAGATATCCCCAGGGGTACGAGCAAGGCACAAAGCTTGTGCAGACTGGAGAAGGCTTTCTCACTGCTCCTTCCACGGAATCTGCTCCACAGTTTAATGCTGAGTTACCTCACAGAGTACCAGAGACACCTGGCATCTGCTCTACGACAGCATGCGTATTTTAAAACCAAATGTATACGATATGGTCAATACATGCACTGTGTACACAGCTATTGCCTAAAAGCTTACACACCTTTGGAGAGTACACGCTGAAAATGGCACTGTGATAACAGAGAAGGCATTTTGTTTCATTTTGTCTCCAAGTGTACTGATCAACCTCCTCCCCTTAGCTACAGGAGATGAAACTCCCGATGGAAAAGTGATGCAGAAACAGCCCTCAAACATAGGAACCTTTCTTCACAAACAGAAGAGAGTGGGACTGGAGCATCTCTTCTATAAGGAAAGGCTGAGAAAGCTGGGACTGTTCAGCTTGGAGACGAGGAGGCTCAGGGGAGATCGGAAGAGAGGATGCCAAGAGGGTGGAGCCAGGCTCACCTCAGTGGTGCCCAGCGCCAAGACAAGGCATAAAGCAAAACACAAGATGTTCCACACCAACATCAGGATACAGCCCTTTGCTGTCAGGGTGACACAGCTCTGGCACGGGCTGTCCAGAGGCAGTGGAGTGTCCTCCTTGAAGATCTTCAGAAGCAGTCTGGACGTGGGCCTGGGCACCCTGCTGTGGGTGTCCTTGCTTGAAAGGGGTTGGACCAGGCAGACCCAGGGGTCTCTGCCAGCCTCAGCCATGCTGGGATCCTGTGATTTTACCATTCAAGAGAACACTATGCCACGAAAACTTTCAATAATTAAGAAGTTATAAATTTAAGTTAATTCTAGTAAGGTGGACACATCGCAGACTCTGCAGAATGGCAGAAAAGAAAAAGCTCAGGACTAAAAGGTAAGAGCACTCAATATTATCAGGTGCAAACTATGTAGTAACCAGGGAACACTGATTTGATATTATGATGATTAAAAAGTTGAGAAAAAGTAAGGTGAGAATACAGCTGTCCTTCATCTAAAGGAAGCCAAAGTAGACATTACAAAAATACCATTGCAAGTTGCTTGTAAACGTAAAATAAGAAATAGGTGACAAGAGACTCCATAACATATTTGACAGGACATAGCTGTCTCATGGCACAAGGTAAGTAGGGAGCCTAGCAAGAAAATGGCTCAGGAGGATACTGGGAGTGGCAGGGTCACAGAATGTCATGGACACACCTCCAAGGTATCCAGCCTTGACTACTTTTGTACACTCTCTGAAATTGCTCTTCTGCATCACTTCATGGATTTAACCTAAGTTGTCTCTACTGAGCATACTACAAAAAGAGTCATATTAACCAACAGTTTCTAACATTGAGATATTTTCTCTTCATGTCTCTTCCTAGAAGTAAGTCCCAGCTACTGGAAGGCACTGCTAGCTTCCAGCATCTCTCTTTGAGCATTTGTCATGAGTTTTGGGGAATCAACCACACACCTTCAGAAGTTCACCGTATCATAGACTCTACTGCACAATCTGCTTTAGCTTTCTATTGTCAGAGCCATGAGTTCACGATACAGGTAAGAAAACATTAAGCAAGATGTCCTGAAAAAAGCAACTTAGTAAACAGGACCCATTAAGCTCCCCATTCTGACAAGGAACTCATGGCTCAGATATACATGCATGCTCTTGCATTATTCTTACGTGCGAAGGCAGGTTTTTTTATGTCTAAATAACCTACTTCATACTGATCATCAACAGGTGAAGGGAAGTATATATGAGCCACTGAATGCACATCTTTACCTTCGCTTTCTTTGAAGATATACGTGCACCAACCACTGGGCAATAAACGGCCATACAATAGCAAAAGCTAAAACGCCAGGAGAAATTTCAAAGGGCCACCATGATGGTTTCTAAGGAAGACAGAAGAGAGTCCAGTCAGCAACCTGCACGTGCGCATACAGCACCACCTCTGTACTTCACAAATGCTTCAAATGCTACCATACCAAATAGAAAAACTGGTAAGACCAGAAAAAAAAAATATTTGTCTATTCAATAATCTTTTCAGGAACAAATTATTTTTATATCACTTCATCAAGGAAGAGACAACATGAAAAGCACATACAAAAAAAGCCAGACACAAAACATTCATCTCATCCTTTCACGTTGCTTTTTGCAAATGGAAAAAACGGGATTTACCTTAACAGAGGAGGCAGGTGGATAATTTGACTGTAGTGTCGCAGATCTTGCCTTTAAATACAAAGAAAGACCTCATAAGTGTCAAAAAACAATTACACTATTTCTGCTTCACTAAATGAGAACATTTAGTTCTTCACGGTGGCTTTGCAGTCTGTTTGACAGCTTGAGGAACAGTTCTTAAAAGGAAAGGAAGCTTTTCCTTGACATCATTAAAAGCAGTACTACACTCAGTGCAACCCACGTTCCATCACTTGGTTTCCAACTTAACCTCTCATGCTTCCATTAAACTTCAGAGCATTTTTATCACATTTCTGTATGTTAAAATATGAATCAGTATCACTGACTGAACCTCTCTAGTTTTTCAAGTCTCCCCCTGCCTATGCAACTTCATCTCCGGTCCAAATCCAGCAGGTGCGATAATCCAGAGATGAAATCCCAGCAAGTTAACTTGCATAACAAAGTATTTAAACACTGGTCTGTAATAAAGACAAGAAGCATTCTTTCACTGTGCCCTAAGCTATAGCTATACAGTCTAACCAAGGAATCCATCCAAAATCTTATAGGCAATTCAGAGAAAGAGAAGTACCAGAAACACTTCAAGCCTTTTCCTACATACTGTTGTGGTGCTTCCACAGGAATAAAGAAGTCAGCTTTCTAGGCCTTTCCTAATGAATGTGTGAACCAGAAGCTTCTTGACCTTGCTGCTCCTCAGAAAATGAAAGCACAGCGTGAACTGCTGGGCAAAAATCTTTGACTTATTCTTCATATATTGCTTTAGTAAAAAGAAAGAAAAAAATTAATCTGTGTGCAAACACCAGATTCTTGAACAGCTAAGCTGAAGCAAAATTACAGTTTTAAGAAATCCTCTTCCCTGGCTTCCTTAGATCTGGGGTGCGTGCATCTCATAGGACACTTACTGACATGGCTCTACAATGCTCAGGCACATCAAATATCAACACAACAAAGAGAACCAAGTATTTCTGACTGCTGGTTGAATACAGTTCTATCACATTCTATCCTGCATACACTACTAAGTGTAGCAGTATTCCCACTGAAATGGGAAGAAAAAGAAACACTACATCAACAAATATCTACACTCTTAAGACTTCTGCTTGTCTTGTACACATGATGTGAAACTCCAAGGAAGTTGGATTACTTTGAAGGAAAAGAATGCTATGAGAAACCAATTTGCTAGCTGAATAATGAACTCAGAATTTCTGCCTGCAAACATTTAGCAATGTGGGAAATTAAGATAATTTTATTTCCTTTGAAAATGCACTGAAATCTACCGATGAATCCCATGGGATCCCTTAGTACTATCATTAACCATGGAACATCTATGTCACGACTGCATAATGCGTACTGATAACGATGGCTGAGATTAGTTGTATAACAGAAATGAGCACAATGACGTATGGTTAATATCTAAGTTAATATGCATGGTTTTGTTCACAGGTACAACAGTCCTGAATTGTGTTCCTAACATTAGGTCACAAACAGAAATTCTAAGTTGAAACAAACTACAGAATATAACAAATTTATTTGCAGTTTAAGAAACATTGTTTTAATCTGAAAGCATAAAGATACTCAAGGAGATTTAACAAAAATACAATCAGCTTGCTTCAGTGCGTACCTGTGATGCTGTAACTGCCTCCAGCATGTGCAACCTCTGCAGGACATTCTGCATGTCTTCTTGCAACCGCATCAGCACTACGGCGATCTGCTCGTTGAGGCTGCCCCGCGGCCCCCTCTCTGATCCCCAGCGCTCTCCATCCCCTCCATTACCCATCTGTCCACCTTGCGAACCGTCTCCTAAAGGATGAAGTCTGTGCCCTACGTTGGGAGGGAAGAAACGGATGCTTAAAACACAGAATTGGCTACCAGCTCTATTGAAAATGTTTGTTAGGAACACTTGTTCAGTTTTCTTCCACCCCAACTGAGTGCTTTATTCAGGCAGCTCAAAAGTGCCGGGAGGTTCCTGCAACAGCGTTTGAGATGTTTCCCTGCATGAAGTCTTACGTAACAGAACCTTCACCTATCACATTCCCTTAGCTGTACACATAACCAAATGTGTTTCTGTCTGCTTGTAGCAAACTAAGTTGAACGAGAAAAAAGGGGAGACTGTTAAACTAATGTGCAGCCCTACAATATGTTCTTCAGAATAGTTTACAATGTAAGTGCTCTTTTAAAATTTTCTCCTTAATTTTGCCATTTGATGCCATGCAAAAAGACATGGTATAAATAAATGCAATGCTTTAACAACCAGAACAGATAGCATCAGCATAAATAGAAGGTGTGGCTAATACCCCAATTATATAGAAAACAATGTGTAATTGATACCTTTCCATGAGGTTCCCTGGTTTCAAATAGAGGTGTAAATAGGCATGCATTTAAAAATAAATACGCAACTTGTAAAGAAATTTTTTGCAAGCACAGATGGGTTTTGAAGATTACGCTTTAAGAAGGTGCTACAGACAACAGTTGGATTTTAAGGTCAGCCAAAACTGAATCAGCCGATTCACTTATTAAAGATCTCCACAACACAGTAAAATTATTCTGTAATGATTACTATGAATGAAATAAATTCTTTGAACACAAAACTGATCATCACCCACTGGAATTAACATTTTATTAGCTACTTTTACTGTGAAGGACAGAGGCATTGTACAGTGGGACTGTCTTACTGAACAAGGCTGACCAGTGCTTCTTAGTCTCTTCTCACTTATAGCCATGAGCAGAGTAGAAAATACAAAAGCTGTGCACAGTACCTCTCCCTCTTCTGACACCATAGAAATCTGCTTTTTCTCCATCCTTCTTCTCCTTGTGAGGGGCCCCATTACTGGCTTTGCCATCTTCTCCTCCACACTTGACTTCACCTTTTTCTTGAACTGCTCCTTCTACAGCATTTCCCAGCTGCAGATTCCCAGCAGTTGTGCAAGCACGCCTTGGAAGATCAGTATTTTCTAATAGGAGATGATGATCTACATCCAAGAAATGGGATGAACGCTTTAAAGATCCTTTAGCTGACGTGATGATCTCTGAGGGCTACAAATTAACAACTAATTAGAGTCTGTAAAATGTAACAGTTAACCATTGAAAAGGAAGAAGCAGCACCTTTTCTTTCACTTTAAGAAAGCAGCTTGCTCTGCATTATGACTTTTAACAGGAACATTTGTTTTGCTATAGAACGTGCTTACTGATGCCCAAACATTCTTTCCAAATTGAAAAGGTTAGACATTCACTTGAGACAAATATTGTCAAAACACTGAACTACTTGGAATTACTTTAGACATTTTCAGCATACTCTCATACACTCATTGAACCTTTGGAAGATCTCAAAATGTTCAGTTTTCCTTTGGTTTTGCCTCCCAGACAGTGAAGAACTATCCTAAACTAACTGGTGAACCAGACTGTCAAGAGCCATGTGCTATTAGCAACGTTGGGCTAACAGCGCTCACACTCACTGCAAAGAAATCACAGTATTTATTACCAACCTGCTCAATATTGCTTGACTGCACCCTGTATTTTTCACAAATAAAAGTAAATTCTACCAAGTTTTTCATTCAAAATCTGTGATACTGCAGAAAGACATTAAAAATAGCTGCCATGAACACTGGCTGGGTCACAATTACACGTTCTGCAAGAGGACTGCCTTGAAGTGCTACAAGCATCCTTTGTTCAGTGAAAGGACAAAGTATGAGCACAACTACATGTCGAAGCAGACTGGGGAGCTCAGCTAGCTGCAGGTAACTCCATGAAAAAGGAAAAATAGCAAAAAAGAGGAGAAAAAGAAATGCAAACTGCTGCCAAAAATCCTGTTTGTCAAATACAGATCTGCATCATCAGAACTGAATATTGAGTATTTGCTACACCTTTTGCAATATTTAAGTTCAGTGAATGTTTTCTCATTTTAGTCAGTCTGTAGTTGTACATCTATACTTATTTCTACACACACCTATCTGAACTAAACTTTTCACATTCAAGTTGGGAAACTGATACCTATCTACCCACGCCCATGAAAGAGCCTCAAACAAGTTCAAACAGTACACAAGACAACTGGGAAACAACCTACATAAAAAACAGCTTGAAGCATTTCTACCAAACCACTTTTGCAATAGCTTTCACTGCTGCACAGAATTCTGATTTGCTAAAAGGAAACAGATGGATAAGAAAACAATGCAACACTGCTTGCAGGCCTTTCTGATCACGAGCGCCATTCACACAGTCCTCTCCTGAATCAGGAAGCCAGGTGTTTGAGTACACTCTGCCAAGCCTACACTGAAAATGGATCTCCAAAAGAGGTCCAAACCAGTAATTCAACTACGACCACAGTTAATACAAGCAACAGTTCAGTGATAACTAAGCCAGTACAGTTGGTGCCCACCTTTTACATGGAAGTCAAAGATGCATGTTATGTCTGAAGAGAGTACAAGAACCCCCACAAATCATCATCTCCCATTTCTCTAGATCTAGGCCGCTTTCTTCCACTGGCCTACAGGCTTCCTGCTCAGGCTTACTCTTTACTTATTCTAAGAAACAAATGCAGGATTTATCAGGCCAGAAAATGAGAGCAAAGATCCACACACTACAGAGATGCTTCGTGATTCTGAGGGTCAGCTGAATTCTGGTCCCTACATACGTTACTAGACCCTGTTACCTGTGGATATAACCTTTACTTTCTTCATACCATTCCTTTTGACAGTTGTTTCTATGAGCTGCTGGTTTGGACCATTTCCTCTCACCTAAATTCTGTGAGGGCAATAATGTGGAGGCTGCTGGAACAGTATTAACCAAGCTGTAAAAGACTGACAATAAAAAGAACACAAAATGATAGTTCAAATAAGAGAAAGGTATGTGTGTGTTATTTCCTTCACCTCTGGATGTCCAGGTTCACCTGACAGACAGGAACCTATTTAAAAACAGGCATATTAGCTTCAAACTACATATAGGAATATTAATCCCTTACCTCTTCTAGTCCAAGTTGCTCCATCGAGTCACAATAAACTTCGCTGTCTGAATCACTGGTTAAGTGCTGAGTTCCTGAGACCTCTTCAGTGCTCTCCTCATTTGCACCTGTATTTGAAGGAGGTATGCACATGTGCTTTGTAAATGTGAGCCAATCTTGGCAAAGTGTAAAGCAATGAGTTAAAATACCTAGGTGAGCTCCAGTTCACGCCCTATTCATCTACTGTTGTCATCCTATTAATAAAGAAATTATACAAAGCGTTTGCTAAGGGAAAACCAAGCATCATACTGATATTTCTATGTTCTAAGATCAAAATTTTAATTTTTGTCTGTTCATTTCACCCTCCTTCCTAGTCTCAGTATAAAGTAGTTTTGAACAAAGTCATCAACTGATTTTCAATTGGTAGATTTGGACATCAGTTACGATAAACTGACATTCACAATATTTTCAGCCTTGACAAATACAGATATTAATGATCTTCATTTAATGACAAATTAGCTTTCAAATGCAAATAACATACACAGATAATACAATGATTTTAAAAGATAACTGCACTTCTGTATATTTGAGCCTCCCTCTGAATTTACCCCTTTTTCTGTAAAAAATGTTCAAAAAAGCACCTTATTTTAAACTGCTAAGAATTGACCTAAATTCTTAGTACTCTTACTTCATGTTCATACTACTGGAGGATACCACTTCTCATTTTTGAGTCCCAGGATTAAGATTTCCAAGAAAAACATATGCAAATTAGCACGTGATCTTGCAAGAAGAATACCTTGGTGATCACAGTTATTAGCTATTTCTAGGCTTGGCTCTGTCTTCTTTATTTCTTCCTCCACATTCAAGCCATTCAAGGCAGATTTGTTCTGGATTCCATTCTGCATATCTGGGATAATGCTGTCCTTGTAACAGTCATTAGCAACAATATTTTCCATATCCTTAGCAGCTAATGATTCTGTTTTCAGATTCTTACATTCTGTAAAAGAACAGGAAAACCTTGCAGATAGAAAGCCAGGTATATAACAGCTAAAAACACAGTTCTTAGAGCAGATAACTTTCGGATGGTCTATATGTAAAATGTTTATGCAGAACAAAACACAAAAATGTTTCTAGATTCACATTTGCAGGGATTGTTCTGTTACTGTAAAAAGCATTAATATAACAGTTTAACTTGCATAAAGAGCAGCTGATGTTTAACACGTAACTAAGCAATTCCACCATTGGTCCCTCTGACAACTCAAATAATTATCCCAATGTCCTTGGTGGGAAAAAGAACTGCATAAAATTCTAAATGTGTGATTTCATTTGGTTTTCACTCGACACTGTTACTACTCAAAACCCTTATGAGCCCCCAAAATGAATGCCATTGCAAGTTCTGTTTTCCTTTCTCTGAAGAAATGTGATTTTCAATTCTACTGTTACTAACAGCTGCTACAAGTAGCACTGGCAACAAAAAGGAAAACAATACATGATATTCTATCAATTCTTAGATAACACTCTGACATAACTTTCTAGCAGTCAAAAAATGTATGGCAGTACAACAAGTACAGCATTCACAATCCTTTGGGACTTTCTGATACTTACACAGTTTAAAAAAAAGAGACAAAAAATCTCTGGAAGAATCACAGCATGTTTGAGGTTGGCAGGGACCTCTCATTCCATCTGGTCCAACCCCTGCTCAAGCTGGGACACCCAGATCTGGGCATCCACAACCATGTCCAGGTAGCTTTTGAGTATCTCCAAGGAGACACAATCTCTCTGAGCAATCTGTGCCACTGCTTCATCACTTGCACAGTAAAGAAGTGTTTTCTGAAGCGTTTCCAAGAGGCATTGGTCTAAGTGTAGAAAACATACCCTTTACATTTTGCTGGAGTTCTTTTTCTTCCTCTTCACGAAGTCCTTCTTCTTCTGATTCTGCTCCACTATCACTACTCTCAGCTTTTCCATTCACAGTCTTGAGATTTGGAGCAGAATTCAGGACGTTACTAAGGTCTGAGAAAACATTCAACGAGGAAAAAGTGAGTATTTTAAAAGAAACTAACACACAGCTCCCCCAGAAATATCAGGCAGCTGCTGCAGAAAAGCATTTCCATATTAAAAGAACAATCAATGAATGCCAGTTTTATTTCTGTATGCTCTTCCTTAATTATTTTAATGTTTCTCTTTTGTGGTTTACCACAGAATGCCTGACTACTCATGAATGATTCTGAGGAAGCCTACTGGATAAAGACAGCACATTACATGTTACTTTTGCTACAAAACCTCTGACCAAGACTATTATCCACACTTCTGGTACAGCTACAGTAACGCTTTATCTAGGACTGATATGGCCATTTTCTCTGAATCCAGAGATGGCTATTTTTATAGAAGTTCCCTTTGGGGCTGAAATGCTTCTAAACTGCAAACTCTGGAACATTCCACTCAATTATGTGAGCAACCAGATTCTGTGAAAAGGGAATATTCTATTAATCTCTTCCCACAGTGGTTTAAACAAAACGTGATAACAAAATGTATACAAACATTTATCTGGCAAAGTGCACATGGAAGTAAGCACTCTGAGTTCAGTGAAAAAGATGGTGTAATTAATACACAGTGCATTTGTTTGCTTGTCTAATTATACAAATATATATTTTATATATATATATAAAACAAATATTAAAAAAATAAAGTAACAGCTCAGCTTTTGTTTTCCATATCTGTGATCATTTCAAGGTTCCTAATTCACTCCATGTTCAAAGTGTTGCAAGCTAAAGATTCTTAAAAATATAAAAAGGAGAATTTAAGCCTTTGCTACACCCTATGTAAAAAAAATATGGAGAAATATCTACTGATGATTTCAACCTTGTACATTAGCACAGTGAGTAAGGTATAAAGTGGACAGTTCCTAGACGCTCCCACACTTTACGTGTTGACCACAAGATTCTGTCTGCTTTAATTGTCATCATAGCACTCCACAACTTGTACATAACTTCTATAACTCCATAACTCTGCATAACTTGTACGTTCCCTTGATGGAATCTTGAAAGATTAATTAATGTCAAGCCTTAAATTAATTAGGCTTAATATTAAAGAGCAAAATAATATCCAATTATACCAGAGTTGTCAAACCAGCTCTGATACTTTCTTTGCTGCATGTAGAGCGATGGGTTTTCTACTTAAATCTTGCAATGAAGAACTGATCTGCTTTCCTCAGTCCTTTAACATCCATACTGCTTAAAAAATAAGAAACAAAAGAGCTTTTATTTAGAAATAATGAATACGTTAAATTCCCTGTTCACCTCAGTCTTACTGTGAAACAAGCACTCTACGGGCACCTTGCATCACCATTTTGGATTGCAATTAAACTTTTATCTGAAAGTAACTGGAAAAGCTATCACCTCTTTTGTGGACCATGAGAATATAAGCAATGACAAAGTCATTCTATTCTTCCTGAAAAACAGTATTTGAAAAAAAAAAAAAAAAAAAAAAAAAAAAAAAAAAAAAAAAA